TTATTTCCCTCTATCGGTGGGCAGATTTTCTGTCTAGGCTATCCCTTTTAGACTAATCCTTGAATATCCTAGATTTACGAGACTTTTTTGCAACACACCATACCTAACGGGCCCAAGGCCTCATCTCCTGAATGATCATTGGAATCCAGAACTTTAGATCAACAAGATTGACAATCTCTTCTCCCCTCTCCTAGGCAGCCACAGCCCCAGTTTATCCACTTCCCTGTCTGATTTTGAATTTCCTCTTCATTTCTGGTACTCAAGGACATTTCTTTCTTTTTTGAGTATTTATCAATGCACCCAAAAGCCTTTTGCTCATTTTTCATCTAGAATTTCCAGATGTTTATAGAACATAATCTGAAAACAAAATATGCCTTTGACTCCTAATTCTGGCAGGACAGTAGACTAAGATAATCTGAACATCTAACTGGTCTTAACATCTTGTCAAAACCGAAAGTCGAAAGGTATATTTAGGGGTACATTTCTTCCCAAAGATCCTCGCCTATTTGCTGTTAATGAATATGATCAACAAAGAAGGCAATGTTTTCTACTTGAAATATTTCCAGTATAAACATTGAAAGACAAGTAGGTCCAAAAAGTCTCTACCAAGGAATTATCCAAAATCTTCAAGCCAGATACTCAAAATTAATGAGCTTAAGCTTGAAGTCCATAATTTAATTTAATACAATTCTTAAAGTCACTGAAATAAGGAAGTTGTTATTACCAGATTTACATGAAGGGATGGCAGCTCAGACTCACCAGTTACCTCGTCTTATCTGACCACCTCCTCCTTACAATACTGGAAAACCAGTAAAGATGTGGAATTATTTAGGACAAAATCCAAGTGGTAGTATCCAGAAGTGGTACTGGGGTTGTCTGGAGTGATACCTTTGGGCTTACCTGTATATCTGCTGCCTCCCTCAGGAGCCCAGGAGCCTCCTCAAACACCTATAAACAACCTTTTTCAACTTAAGCCTTAAGTGTTTGCCACCTGGCCCAGCTTGAAGCCAAAGATAAGCCACCCTTGATGCTATAACACTGTGCCTTCATTCCAAGATCCATTAGCAAAACAACCTTACAGGCATATCATGAAGACGTTTCCTCAGCAGACTGGGTGCTTCTCCTATAATTAGGACTTGCCTTTTCATTTGGGCAATGCTGTCCCTGGCCCTTCTTTCTGCCTAGTCATAGATGACCATCTCTTCCCATTTAGCATTTGTAAGATGCCCTGCCCTCTCAAACGACCAGCCATATGGAGCCAATTTCTCCTAATCATCAATTAAGAACAGAAATGAACCTACGTTAGACTTATATTTAAAAAGAAGTGGAGTATATATCTTAAATGTCCCTATATCAATTATACATGCAATGCACACTTATGTCTGTATTCCTATTATTAAAAATTACATTTCTTGACACTTACTGTTTTAACTGTCAATCTCCCACAAACTGCTAGCAGAGTGACTGGCAGGCAGAATTGTGTGGTTAGAGAAAAAATCTGATGTTATTGGGTAGAGCCCAATGGAATGAACGGGACTTTGAGCAAGAACATTTTAATTCTGAAATCAAACAGCCTCAAATGACTTCTCTTTCCTGTCAAGTTCTGGAGGGTTTGGTGCTTTTCTTGTTTTTGTCCCGAATTTTGTGCTTTTCTTACATACACTGAATGTGAAATAGCCTAGTGTATTTCTTTGGGGATCCAGGATTTTGCTAGGTGATACCAAGGGATGGATGTAATTCAGTGACATTTTGTCAGGCTGTTAAAGAGTAAATTTTCCTTGACTGTGGCAGGAGGTAATTATTTTTTGTTTGTTTGCTTCTGACACAGGGGAAGGAAATTTGGGGTTGTTATTTCAACTAGTTCAAGACATTTTTTGTTCTATTTGGCAGGAAGCGAAGAATGCATTTTACTGTTGGAGGAAAAGCCAGCCTCTGCTTTCCCTACAGACCTGATACACTGCTTAACACTGTGAACATTTTTGCAATCTCAGTCTCCTGGTGGTTTTGTCTGCTCTCCCTGGTGACGTCCTTGATGCACCTCTTCATTCTCTGATCCCTCCTGGCATTTGATCTGGCATTTGTATTTGTCTGTTGTAGGATCATTCAACAGCACGCATGGAAGATGTTCAAAGCAAATGTAGCAATGATGTGGCTTGTACACTCAGAATTCACACTCAGATGGGGGGAGCCAGGATGGGCATCTAAACCAACAACAACAATAATAAAAACACTATATCTCACCTTTCAACTAATACAGTTACAGTAATTCGTGGCCTAACGACTGGGACATGTGAGAAATGCATCATTAGGCAGTTCGTTGTGTGAATAACATAGAGTGCACTTCCACAAACCTAGATAGTACAGTTTACTGCATACCTAGGCTTATGGGGCCACCACGATATATGCAGTCCCATATTTCAGTCATTGACTGAAATATCATTAAACGATGCATAACTGTATTTATGCAGCTGGCTCTAAAAAGCAAGCTCTTTGCATGACATTTTTTGTAGCCTAGATTCATGCCTCAAGTTTTAGGTACTTAATTAAAATGTCCAAAAGAATGCAATTGCTTATTAGGTACTGATTGGACCCTTTTTAAAATTGTTAACTGAAATCTTAGCTAGCACTACGTTGCTGAAATTTCACTGACGTAAATGGTGAGAACCAAGACCTCAGCTCAGGGGTTGAAGCAGGCCTGCTGCCTCCTTGGTACCTGTCCTCAAAGTCTGGTCCTGTAGAGGAATGGGGTCCCCCAGGAGAAAAGTCCTCTCTGTAGCCACCCTGGACTAATGCCACACATGCATCCCGCACTTCTTCACAAGGCCTTTGGGATCACTCATTAGAGAAACACATTGTTAACCTACATTGTTCTCAAGCAAAGGTTAATTCAGAAGTTATCTGAAATATAAGCATCTCTCATATTCATTAAAATGAAAGTCCACTGGGTAAGAATTTATGAGCTTCACTATCAAAAAGACAGAATAATTATAAGAGTAATAATGGAAGACGCTTCTGAATTCTTACCAGGCCTTGGCATTATGTATTTCCATGAGTATTATCTCAGTCATTTCCTACGATGCCTCTGGTAGGCAGCTATTATTATCCCATTGCACAGACGAGCCAACTGAGGCTCGATTCCTCAGTGAATCTTGTCAGCTGAGAACCCCTTTTCCCTTAAGAATTCTTTCCCAGGAAGAGTTAAGTCTCTGTTTCAAAGAGACTTCTCGTGTCACCGCTGTCACCCTCACTACCAGTTCTCCAAACCATGTCTGCAGCTGGCAGTGAATACAGCTTAGGGTTAAGCTGCGACCTCCACTAACTGTCTGTTTAGAACATGGCTCCCAACAATAGGCTCTTTTTTACCTTTGTTTTGAGCCCCTATGAGCTTCCAAACAATGGAGAGGTCATCTGGGACTTTGTGCTTGCTATTCGATGGTGTGGCTTTAACAAACACAGATTTTTTCCATTTCTTAAAATTCACTAGGGAGTTGTTCCTCAGTGAAAAAAAAAGAAAAACGAAAACAAAGAAACAGCCACTGTCCTCAAAAAGTATTAGATATCTAAAAGTAAAGGCAGCAAAAATGGAGGTTGAATATCTGTTTTCTTCTCACATATTGGATGTAAGTAGCGGCATCCTAGGTTTGCAGTTTATACATCTACTTTAAAAAATTGCTCATTTTTATAGCTACACTTTCCATTTTAACTTTTTCAGTTGGTCATTCAGTAGCCAGAATAAATGCAATACATTATCTGAAGACTGCATTCATGTGAATAATATATTACTACCCTTAATGAAATATCACACACTAAAATTAATTCAAAGGATACCTTTTTTTTTTTTAAGATTTTATTTTTCCTCTTTTTCCCCAAAGCTCCCCGGTGCATAGTCGTATATTTTTAGTTGTGGGTCCTTCTAGTTGTGGCATGTGGGATGCCGCCTCAGCATAGCATGATGAGTGGTGCCACGTCCGCACCCAGGATTCGAACGGAGGAAACCCTGGGCCGCCGAAGCGGAGCGTGCAAACCCAACCACTCGGCCACAGGGCCGGCCCCAAAAAGGATACCTTTTAACACAAGACCTAAGGGGAAATGGGGAAAGAAAGCATACTCCTATTTTAGAAAAAAATTATTGTTTTCTTAAATATCACTCTGTGATACTGAGTTGACTCTTACATGACTCTTGCCTCTTACAATGACTCTTACAATGTTTGCTTTGCTCATTCAAATTGATAGCATAAAAGGCAATTCTGTATTTGTGAACAATCTGTGCGCACGCCTGGCATCCAATGACCAGCATGCGATAAATGTTCTGGGACTAGTCTGGTCCCCTTTCTCTCTTCTTTGGGCTGGAGTTCCCTGGGAGACACAATCTGTCCAGTGCTATGTCCCAGCGAAAGCTGAGCTTTCCCTCTTTGCTTCCACAGGTAACTTGATCTCTGACCACTGCTTCTCATCTCTGCGCCCAGGATCAGTCTTTAATCTTACCCACTGCTCCCCACCTCCCCACTGTCTCCTCTAGAATCTTTTTGCATAGTAAACACATTCCCCTCACCCATAATATATTTTCTGAACAGTCCCTCCAATTTCTCTTCTTACCTAAAGCTTGGTTCTAACCTAAGATCAGTGCCCCCAGCTGCCTACACACATATAATTGTGTTACATACAAAATACACATGTCAATGATCTCCTGGCATGTAAATTCTGAAAAGGTAAAGAACGATACCAAGAGTCCATAATATATGTTCTTCATAACCAAGGATGGCATTTCCATTTTACACAGGACTTGAGTCCGTTTATGATCCACCACACAGTGCTGGGTGCATAGTGGGTGCTAATTGTGTATTTACTGAATGAATGGATAAATCAATGAATGAAATCCTTTACGCTTACTACACAAAGTCTATTATATAAACCTACACGAATAGAGATGAAAAGATGGATAGGTAAGGAGAGCGAAAGGCTAATTAAAAGGTGATATGTGTGCAAAAAGGACAGCTTACCACATAAAGACTCTCATGGAAATACAGCCCCATGTCATAAAAGTTTCCATCATGCCTCACCGGGTGTGTTCTGGTCTTCAGCTGCTCCATTTGCCCCCACTGCAAGACGGAGCCTCCTGGTCTCTCAAGCAGGGACACTTGGAGGAGGTAGGCGCCTTGGGGAGCCTTGTTCTTGAGGCCCCTTATGCATTTCATCTGCATTTGAAGAGGCTGAGGTGACTGAGACTGCTCAACCTAAAGAAAAGATGGGTTCTTGAATTACCCAGGAACTGGGCACAACCACATAATTAGCCACAATGCGCTTCTCGGGGCGAGGGAAAGTAGACAATCATTTTTACTCAATCTGTAATTGTCAGGTATTAGCAATGATAACAGAGGAGGACACATGATCTATAATTAGGGGGTCAAAAGGCAAGCTTGTCGATTATGTGAGGGCAAGTTTAGCCGATTTTTAAGCATGGTATGTTAATGATCTGTGACATCAGAAACCATTCATCTATTACAATAAGATAGAATTAACGGGAAACCAACACTTCTAAAAACCACACAGCATGTCTCTTAAGATATCTGGGATGGCTGAACATGGCAGTAAGCTTCAAACTCAGAGTTTGAATGGTGACAGCCCTTACCTCTAACACTAATCACAGACCTTACGCCACACAGATGAATGCAGAACAGGTCAGACTGACACCTGATCGAATCCTTTTATTCGATTTAAAGATGAGGTCAACTTGCCTCCTAAGCTTCAAATCAGAGTCAAGAGATAAAGGGGGGCTAGCATGGGTATGTGCTTCAACCTAAAACTTAGTGTAAATTGCATGTAACTGAAAACCACGACTCAGGAATATTTTACAGGACATTTGAATTTCATTGCTTACCTACAGCAAGAGAAATAGGCCATTTTCACTTTTAATAAGTGCCAAAAAGTTTATACAAATTGATAAGATTTTTAATGGACTATTGTTTCTGATTAAACAAAAATTAAACTGGGATTATTAATAACTCCAATGTCATTAAGTCATGTTTTTTATACTCACAAGTCCCTAATAGTCTTCAGAATAATTTGACCTCGAAGAATTCTCTATTCCATTGTACTTTAAGAAAAATAATGTCATGTTCAGAAGGAGGTTACTCTCTTAGCTACCCGTGTTAGTAGCACCACTCGTTAATCCGCAGCCAACGGTAAACACTTTTTAATCTGCCTAGAGTTTTTTGTGTGAGAGATAATATATATTTCCATATAGATAGCGTGCTTCTGGAAATCACAGTTAAATAAACAGCGAAAGTTGCTAAACTTCTTTTGTTTTTTCATACAAGTCATACTTAAAAACTAATCAGAATAAGAATTATTTTTGGCTTAATTAGAAAATCTTAATTAACAATAAAGACTTAACCTTAACATTTTGGTTTCCAAAAATATTTTAAAAATTAACACCAAGTGAATAAATAAGACAATCTCTTTAAACCTCAAGGCAGGATTACCAGTGCAGGCAGACTGAGTTATTAAACACATTCTAAATTAAACGCCTCTATGAATTTCATACGGAAATATATTGTGATAGTTTTGCATGCCAAATGTGACATTTTGTATTTTAGATTCATCTTCTGTAGTAATTTGGGAAATGTCATACAAACAAAGATTTTGTCATTTACCAATGGAATTACTATGCACGGCCGCTTAGCCATCTCTTTGCCGGCTCTTGTGGTTGTTTCAAGTCAGCAAGCCATAAAAAATCTTTATCTCTCTGAAACACAGCAATTTGGAAGATAATCGAATGGTGACTAGGGGGCAGAAATGCCAGTCTGAGGAATTATACCACAATCTCTCTTGCATTTACAACCTTCCTCAAAGCGAGTGTCAGATGAGTAGGAAAAGCAGATAGAAGATTCATCAAATCTCAAGGCTTGTCTCATTTGCATGGGGGCAGGGCTGCCTCATTGTCTAGGAGAACTCAGCCTGGTACCACGACACAGTTTTGAGGAATTCCAAAGGCTTCACAGTTGAGAGTTTTAGCCATTCTATTTGAGCACAGAAATCTCCTCAAAAATATTTATTAAGACCTGCTAAAAATCCGTTTCTCTAAAGGGTCCTACAGGAGAAAAGCACAACAGGAAACAGAGTCGATAAAACAGATCTCACCATTTAACATTTTGCATCAGAGGAAAAAAGTTGCAAGAGCCCCACCTTCCAGCGTGGTCCTGCTGCTTTCTTTGATTCATGAGTTCCTTCTGTGAGGGTACAGAGCTTGGCTACGCTGTCTTCTTCACAAACATTTAGGTCAGCAATTAATGGTCGATGGGGAGCTCTGCAGAGGTGAAAGAAAAGAAAGAGAAATTGACATGGGGTATAATGAAAAGATTTGCCTTTGGAACCACCACACAATTTGATGTTCTCCTTAAACATTTTCTCAGATTAACTGGGAACAAGATAAACACCACACACAGATACTGCTGTTGATTAAAGTCGGGAGGTGAGTAGCTTTTGAAATGTGACCCTGTAAAATATAAGACTCAGTGTATTCGCTACGGATCTCCCAACAATTAAAATGTCTCTTGTTTCAGAAATTTCGAGAAGATCAAATATTTGATCAGACTTGTTGCCACTTCATTTTCTACCCTACCCCTTCAATCTTATAAACTGCTAGAGAAACTCTGGGGAAAAATTATTTAAATAAATGAATAACTGAGATGACATAAACTTTTTCTTTTTTAATGCAATGGCCAGAGATCAAGACTTATTTCTATCCTCAAAATGTTCCCCAGGGTTTTTTCCTTGTGTTAACATTTACTGACTTTATTTGAGGTTCTTCTTTATTGACTCCTTTTTTTTCTTTTTTTAGCTTTTTAACTGTGTTTGCCTGCTTTCCCAAATTCATTTGAATTAAGAAGGATCTTGTATTTCACGTCTCCTGACTTAAGCTTAATTCCACCAACGGGGCCATCTGTGACAATGACTGTACCCCCACCAGAGGAATGGCCTTTTTGGATCTCACAGCCGATTTAGTCTCCTGTGATAGAAATGATTCCCCTTAATTTGGTTAGAGCTACATTTGACACAAGGGTTCATTAGGACACCCATTTGCCGGCAATTCAATTTCAAATTAAATACACTTTGTTGTAAATTTTATTACTTTTAAACTACTGTATCTATTGTCTTTAATGGCCTTATTATACAGTTATGAAGGTAAACAGATTTCATTAGTAAACATCAAACATGTTACGTTAACCACAGTGAAATGCTTTCCTCAGTTTCTCTCTTTGTTCCTTTGGCAAAAATTGTGAGGCACTCATGGACTATCCTAAAAACTTAATCTAAATAATTAGACACTTAATTCATGATTATCATCCTAAGGTGGAAAAAAACAAAACAAGGTCCTTGGTTGCAATCTCAGTTCTTTGTAATTAAAAGTTTTCTAAAAATATCATCCTTAATTAAAAAGGAACACAATGCACATCAAAAGGTTAAAACCCAGCTTTCAGGTGACAGCAGGGACCTAGAGCTCAGTCCAGCTTTCTGTGTTCTCTTGGAACAGTCGTCCCCTAGACCAGGAGCCAGCCTGGTCATCAGCTCACTTTTGAATTAGGCCCTGTGGCATATTATCACTATTTTTTCCCTTTGTATACAGCACTTATTAATTTCGTGATTATACAAATATATGTTTATGTTTGTGCATTATATAAAATTTAATTATATCAAAAGTCCCCCCAAAAGCCACGCATTAGTCCACAGCCCAGAGACAAACACTGGTAAAATATTGTCTATTCTTCACAATTGGGTAGCTAGACATAATTTTTTCTTCAGAAACTGAGGCTGCTATTGTAAATATTATTTTGTAACCTGTATTTTCCACTTCGTATATTATGGGCATTCTCCATGAGATTAAATTTTTTTCTGTAGCCTAATTTTTTAGTAATGAACTAGGCTTTATTTCTAATGTTCTACCATAATTTAAATAATCATTTATTGTTGAATATTTAGGTTAGTTCCAATTTTCACTTTTGTAAGTTAGCGTGTAATTAACTCTCCTGCATATAATGTCTCGTAGACCTCCCAAGCCATTTTCCTGGTCTGAAGTCCTACCACTAAAAACCTTGGGCATGGGAGCCATGCTATCCTACACCTCATTGATCTCCACCTTGAGTGTCGAAATGACACCTCAGCAATGCATAATCCTATTCTCTCAGGCGAGGAATAGTCTTCTCAGAGAGATAGGTCCCACTCCAGCTGATATGCTATTTTCACTGTAGTAGGATTATTAGTTAAATAAAACAGTGATGAGTAACAGCACTGATGTACCGCAGGGTTTCTGAGCCTCTTCCCTGCTGACATTTGAACCACATAATTCTTTGTTGTAGGGGCCTGCCTGTGCATGGTAGAATGTTTAGCAAGATTCTTGGCCTCTTCTCCCTAGATGCCATTAGCAAACCTCTCCCTAGTCCCGGTCATGACAATCAAAATGTCTCCAGACATTGCCAGATGTCCCCTGGGGGCAAAATTGATGCCTGTTGAGAACAATTGATATACAGTATTAACTAGTATTTATTAGTGCTTAGCATGCTCAAGGCACTCTTTTCAAAACATTATATTTATGTATTTAATATATAAATAACCCTTAAAATAATCCAACAAGGTATTATTATACTACTGCCGCTCCTACACTGGAATGGAGGAACAACGACATCCAAATCTCGAAAGTTCCTACACTGGACCAAGGCTTTGGATATTTTCTGAGAGATAAATAAGACATGGGTCCTAGCTATACCACCATAACTATAGTGCTCCATCCCCAAACTGTCACATATGGATGAAAGGACACAGATAAATCCCCAAGAACAAATGGAGTCATGGGTCCCACAGAACTGACTCTTAGGGTGAATCAAACTAGGGCATGCCTGTCACCTATAATTGGCCTATATTTAATCTACAGCAAAACAAACAAAATAAAATAAAATGCATTAACGCTACCATTATGGAACATACTTCTCAAATGTTTTGTCAGTCTTCAAACATGACATAGGAATGTATTGACTGAGTCCTTCCCCTTCAAATTTCAAATCCTGCATGAAAGAAGACAGAAATGAAATAGATTGATTCAAAATACACTTGAAATATCTATGTGAAAGTTGGCTTTTCTAAGACTGAGATATGCTTACTCATAAAGGTTTAGGTTCCAGGAGACAAAAAAGAACATGGCAATTCAAACTTTAGCAGCTACCTTATTACGGAATCTGACTTTTCGCTCTCTGCTTAGTGAGTTCTTGGTCAGATAGGTACAATAGTAAACAACATAAAAAAGGGAGGAGAAATGTTTAGTGGATACCAACACAGTTTTCTTTGTCTCTTTCTATTTCTCTCTATTTATCTCTCTGTCTTTCTCTCTCTCACACACACACAGGTGCACACACACAAATGCACACATGCACATGCACCCATACCACATAATGGTACAGTTTAACAAAATGTAAATGAACATATGGCTGGATGTGTAGGTCACTAGAAATGTTAATAATAATTGTGGTTATAGAATTTATCTTCCAATCCATGACATTTGGGGAGTAAGAGGGGAAACAATTATTCTAGAAGAACAGGCATGACCCAGGAGTATCCCATACAAACTATAAGGTATGGTAACCTTATTAATAATACTCCTCCAGATGTTCCAAAAGGGTATCATATAGGCAAAGATCAATATATTCAGTGAAGGTGAATGAAGAGAGAATATGAGAGAAAGAACAAACTCAAGATGAAAACTGCAGTCCCTTATAAGCTAATCTTGGAAATGACATAGCATCACTTTTGCTGTACGCTATTGGTGACACAGGTTAACTCTGGTACAGTGTAGGAGGGAACTATACAAAGGTGGGAATAACAGGAGACCAGGATCATGAGTCCATAGCAATTATGAAATCAAGATAAGCAAATGTTGGCAGTTCCTTGATTAAGTCTCAAGGTCTGAAAATGATTCTCCATGGCTCTCAGCTCTGTCCTCTGGACTCGTGGTTCCACCCTCTAGATCTTTCTTCCTTGTTTCATGAAAGGTAGCACATGCTTGCAGCTAAACAGTTTTCTCAGCCTTCTTCCTGCCAGGAGAATTTGGGAATCTATAGGGCCCTTTTTATTCTGCTCTCTCTCTGCCCCTTTTAGTCCAAGTAGGTGATTTTTCTGCTTATATAATTCCATTTAAAACCTTGCATTTCTTCTGTGAATCTTAGTGGAGTTCACTTCATTAGACAAAAACCAAACCCCCAAATCTCTTCAAGAGCAGATCTTCTGTACCACAGGTTTGCACTGACAGGATTAGGATAATGACCTTAAGTCCCCTAAAAACAAACCCAGTTGGTCAATTCAGAGGAACAGTGGAGCACATCCTTAATCTCTTCGGAATGCCTTTGCTCTGAGTGAACAGTATTCTGAGGCATCACCTGTGACATTTCTGAAGCCTTAACAAAAGATTTGACAGTCACACTCTTGGTTTCATCCTTGAATCATATTTTCCTGGCATTCGTTCTTTGCTCAGAAGCCATTTCTTCATTTGCGCTGTCTGTCATCTTGGCAGGCTGAGAATTTTCAAAACCGTCGAGTCATGATTCATTTTGTTTAACAATCCTTCCTTTAGTTTATCTCTTTCTCCACACATTTTACAATAAACAGCAAGAAGAAACCAGGCAGCATCCAATAATCCTCTGGTTCAAAATCTCTTTAGGTGGACCAATCCTTTCATTAGGTACCTTTTCTGCTTTCCATATAACTACAGGCAACAACGTTGCTAAACTCTCTGACACTTCACAATAAAGATCTCCTTTTGCCCAGTTTCCAATGAGATGTTCCTCAGTTTCCTATACCTTCATTCACATCCTTCTCAAACCTCGTGAGGTTTCTAGTAACATCTTTTTCAAGGTCCTTAGCCTTCACTAATACTCTCCTCAAAATCCATTACACGGTTTCAATGCCACTGTCATATTTTAAGTTTTTTTACATCAGTATTTCACTTCCAGTACCAAAATCTGTATTAGTTATCTATTGCTCCATAACAAATTATCCCCAAACTCAGCAGCTGAAAATAACAAATGTTTGTTTCTAAGAATCAGAAGCCAAAAGGTTTCAGTGTGTGGTGGAGACCAGAGCTGGCTCGCTCTGGTTCCAAACCTCAATTCTTAACCCATGTAACTGGTCCTTCACATAGTCACAATGCCTTCTTAGCAGTTACATTCAAGGGTGACAGTTTTTTTCACCCACTTGACCCCATATGTTTTCTATGACTAGTTCGTAATTGATTTCCTTGTGAAAACAATTAAGGCTTAGATCAATGGGTGTATATGTTCCTTCGGAAGTGAATAGACAGGGCTAAACAGTAAAACCCTATTAAGTCTTATGAAATTTTCCTTTGTACCAACTATTTTCCAAAAACAATCAGAGAAAGTATGGCTTGCAAAGAGAATGGATTCCCTCATAGACTCAACTATTCTCAAATCCTCTCAAGCACTGAAGCATTAATTATTTATTAATAGTGAATTAATTAAGATTTATCACTTTATCAAAGAAGATTCTATCATAAACTTTATTCTGTAACAATTATTTCATAAAGCTTTAGTCATATCTCTTTTTTTGTATAAAATTTATTTCAAAATATTTTGCAGTCTAGACTTTCTATCATATCCTATTAGTCTGAATATGTGAGGGTTTGTTATAACTGGGAATGACACAGGGAACAATTTGGCAAAAATTGTCAGTAAATATTATTGATGAAAACATTTAAGATAGTAATGTTCTACTTATTCATCTAACATCTAAACAAAGAATTTGAATATTAACTTCCCGAAATTATCTCTTTAGATTTCCCCAGCCTGGAACACCTTTTCCAACAGAAGCATGAAAAAATGACACAAAGAGGGCAAAATTGTTCTAGATGCTTCTATCTTCAAAAAAACAACACAGGATAATCACTCCAAATGCTGCTAGATTTTCCATAAATATCTATAAACCCTTGAAATCTATTTCTGGCTCCTTAACTCTCTTTTTTGACATGTAATAAAAGTCAACAAAGAACCAATTTGATTCTGTACACTGGGTAGATGCCTATTTTTCATTCTAGCTACTATTGAATTCTTTACTTCGATGCTATTATTCAAACTCTCTTTGCCTGCAGTAGTGGCTTGTATAGGGAAGAGGGAAGAAATGAAGGACATAATTCAATTTTAGCTAATATTTGTTGAGTATCTATAATGCATTAGACACTAATCTAAGGACTTTATATGTAACAATCCACTGAATCCTCACATTAACTATTTCAGGTAGATATTGCTATTATCCTTATTTTACAAGTAATGAAACTGAGTAAAGATGAGTTTAGATCAAGCCTAGAGAGTTGGCCTCCATAGTACATGTTTCTAATCCCTACACTAATGAATTCTGAGTTATATATTGTATGATAATATATTAGATGATTTGAACCAACTCTCTTTGTTCAAAAACCATGGTTAGTAGGCAAAAATACCACATGGGAAATCATTGCCAAACTGCAGTTATGTATTTAGAAATAACAATAACGTAAGTCTATTTAGGAAATCATCTCTACACTGGAATTATATATATCAAATCTACAAAATCTCTGTGAATATCAAAAGAGTAATATTAAAATTGCCTTTGAATTCAGTGTCAATTCTTCAATTTTCTTTTAAAAGCTAAAAATTTACATGAGCCATGCCAAGCAGTATAAGTAGTATATTTATGTAAAATCTTGCATGAAAATGTATGGTCTTCTACATTTCCATGTAGAAATTCTCTCTCTGGTGATTTAACTATTTTAATTTTCTCCGTTTTCCAAAAAATTGCACATGTTTACATACACAGGTACCAGCAACTTTAACACGTTAATCATAAACATATATATCGAGAATATGCATGTATTCTTGATTCTATAATAGAATTAATAACTCTATTATAATGACTAAAAATATAAATACATTATTGAAATAAAAATTCAAAGTCTGAAATCATAGATAAGACTATAATTACCTTTTGAAAGGCACAATATTATTAGAACAATTCACTTTAAATATAGCATTCATAAGTTTACTTAGATTGAAGAATTAACCTGATAGGCACCAAGATAAAGAATAATATGCCATAATACCTTAGAAAAACTTAAACAGTTTAATCTTTCCAGATGAAATCCATAAAAACATTCAGGTACTTCAAACTCCATATTACACTTCTCAAATATCAGAGTAAGGAATGAAGATACACTATGGTCAATGAAAAAGCTCCCCAAATTCTTTCTCTTTCTCTAGTTCATCCTTGAGAGGCTTGACACACTGTGATGTGAAATATCTGCCACATATTGGCTACAATGGTATTTTGTCATTTTAACTTTTATATCCACTGCTTAAAAAGACAGAAAACATCAAAATCTCAAAAAAGAAACAAAACCAAAAATATCTCTGATCTCTAAATATAGAAGTGAAGGTCATGTTCAAGTTTTTATCATAAAACAATGAAAGCTACCTTTAATTTTCCTTTTCATTCTATACTACCTTCTGCTCAAAGCTAATGAGAGTCACAAACCAGGCCCTTATAAGAATGAGTTTTCCCTTTCAGAAAACCACCGTATTGAAATGGCAGACAGAAATACAAGGAAAAAGAAGCAAATATAGAAAAACCAGGGAACAGAAGACAAAATGGCAGCATTAAGCCCTCATATATCAATAACCACTCCAAATGTAAAATAATTGAATTCACCAGTCAAAAGATATAGAGCAGCTGAATGGATTAAAAAAACAAGACCCAACAATATGCTGCCTCCAAGAAACTCATTTCCACTCTAAAGAAAAACATAGGCTCAGGTGAAAGGAAGGAGGATGATACGTCGAGCAAATTGCAACCAAAAGAAAGCGGGTGTAGCTAAAATGTATCAGACAAAACAGACTTCAAGACAGAAAACGTAACAAGAGACAAAGATGGACATTATATAACGATAAAAGAGCCATTCCATCGAGATGAAATACAGCTTATTAATATATATACGCCTAACATAGGAGAGCCAAAGTAAATAAAGAAA